ACGACGCAAGACGCCTGCCGGAAAGACAAACCCTAGACAAAAGCTAGGATGAACACATCTTTTACGTTGGTATCATTGCCGCCTCCGCTACAATAGTGCAACCCCAATTCCAACAACGATGATGCAAGGTGTCGCTTGACTCTTGCTTCGCCATCAACCAAAATAGAGAGAACAAAACTACAAAAACATCCGCTCCAATCTCATGCTAAAGTGCATGGGTGGCGGCATCCTTGAACCCTAGAAACCAACTTTTAACAAATGCACTTTTATTTGTTCATGCTTATGAAATTCAACAAGTTCTACACGGACACCTAAGTGATCTACGATTTTCTGAGTTAAGTGTATAAAATTTAAGAATTCATCAACTCCATTTCTGTATTCTTTAGACAACCTGTTAACATCCTTTATTCAAGACCTATCCATCTCTCAATTCATGGTAATTATTAGATCCCAAAAAAGTATTCAACACACATGGTTAAATAACATATGCAAACACTTCAAAAAAATCAGGAGGAATACTTTAACCGAAGATCATGACTATTCAAGATTTAAGTATCTGAGACTAGTTATTACAACATAGTCTTACTCAACCAACAAGGATATATTACAAAACCATGAGAAAAAAACACTGGGTATATTTTTGTACAAATAAAACACTTGGGAGTTGTAAATCATTCTTTCACAAAGAAGAGAACAAACAAAGTATAAATATATATCACACACATTGAATCAAATTGCGCAATGCATTTGTGCAATGAGGCATGCCTCTCCTGTTTCAAACTAAAGGCATAATATTGCATTGGTAATAGCGCACAGTTTGAAGCTGCTTAGTGTATACTACGTTGCCTTCTTAATATTTAGTGTTCTATTTACTTTAGTGCTAAATAGTAATGCTAATATTCTTCAACTTTTATTACTCTCTGGATATTATTAGGTTATTACTTTCATATTTTCTACACATTTAAATATTAATGATATTTCAGTTTTTATATTTGATGTTAACTGCAAATTTTAATATTACGGAGTAATATTTAGTGTTCTATTTACTTTAGTGCTCAAAACTACTAGTAATGCTACTAGTTTAAATATGTTTAAGAACTTTTTTATATGTTACTCTACTTTTTCAGTTAATGAAACTGAAAAAAATATGTTTAGTGACTTTGTTTTAATCTATTTAGTTAACAAATTGAGTATTTTGCTACTTTAGATAACGAACTGAAAAGATTTGTTTGAGAACTTTATTTTGATATATTACTCTATCTACTAATTTAGTTAACATAACTGAAAAAGTATGATAAAGTTTTGTTCTTCAAATCAAAGTTACTTTATTGATCAAAGTTAGTGATTGAACCGGTTTAAATTTCCAGTAACTAAATCTTATGTGTATTTACTTTAGTATTGAAAAGATGCATAAAATCAATTAATGTGATAAGAAATGTTATTTTTAGTTCCATTTACAGGTAGTACACATATTGGACTTTAAATCAGGAGACAGATTCATCCATATCTGCTAGCGTGACAGTGACACGAACTACCAAAAAAGAAAAGCATTGTACATTTCAATTATTTTACCGGCCATGGTTTCTAGACCATCCATTTACAGAAACAACAAGAGGACTAATAAAAACCAAACCAACGAGAATCGACTAGGATTATTTGAAGGATTTCCATATTAGATGATATAATTGAAGGATTACTTAGGGAGGAGATGAAGGATTATATACATACCTGAAATCGACGAGAATAGCTCACGAAGAAAACCTAGCGAGGACCAACCGGCGAGTCGCGCAGCAGACCCGAAAATGCGGCGGCCGGCATTTAAATCCCTTGGGTTTTCTAGTGTGGGAAATAACATACTAAAAACTCATCCCTTTTCCCAGTTTTCCATTCCAACAGGCAAACTTCGAGAATCAATTTCTCATTCACCCGTTATCCGTTTTGAGCGTACTATATATCGAAGTGTAGCCCTTATCAAGAACAATCTGAAACCACTCTGACCTGACCCAAATCGAAAGTGGACCTGATGGATAGTCTACCCGGGGGGTATCTTATCCGAGGGGTTATTGCGGGAATAACTAGAGAGAAGTCAGAGCAAAATAGGAGGAGAGAGAGTCGATTTATTAAATGAACTCAGCGTGTGGAGTTGAGATGTGGATTGTCCCCATTACAAGGAGAAATAGGCTGCTATTTATAGCAGTAATAAATGCGATGAGGGGACACGTGTCAGTAATCCAACGGCCGAAGGGTCACATCAGCCTAGTGGTGCTGGCAGTGGTACGTCAACCGCATTGAATGCGGTTGGCGGATGCGACGTGGCATTAAATGCGGTGGTTGGCTGTCTCTAAAAGGAATCTTCGATGATTGAGCTAGTTCAGCCGTAGGCTTCTTGCGTAGCCGAGGGCTCCTTGTGTAGCCGAAGGCTTGGTTGAGCCGAGGGATTCCCCTGGTGCCGAGGGCTCCATAGTGCCGAGGGCTCCATAGTGCCGAGGGCTCCCGTTTTCTGTCAATTTCTCCCAGTAGCTTCGCATGGTCGAATATGGCGGTTCTGTGAGTTCTGGAGCCTTCGGCCAAGGTGGCCGAAGGCATTCCTGTGTGTACCGTGGCCTTCTTGACGCTTGGGCCGCCGGATCTTGGGCCTCCTGAGCTCCTTGAGCTTGTTGGGCTTGTGATAGATTAGTGGGAGTCTTTGGGCCGGGGGTTCCTGGGCCATATACTCCATCAGGAGTCCCTCACTCCTTTTGCCGAAAGGTACTTGAGGGAAAAGGAGTAGATGTGATGATTCTTCCGGGGGCTTCATCGCCTGTCTGGGTGCCTTTGTTTGAGAACTTGTCTTCTGTTGATTGCCGAAGGCTTCCCTCAGTCCCTCACATGTCGAGGGTTTTCTGAGGGAAGGTACTCGTAACCTTCGTATGTTCGCCGGGGGCTCCCCCTCAGTCCCTCACACGTCGAGGGTTTTCTGAGGAAAGCATAGATGTCTTGTCTGCATGTATTGTGATGTTTGCCCGGAGGCCGTATGCGTCCATTGTAAATTGTTGCATGAAGAATTTTTTGTTGTGTATGATCCCCGAGGGGTGTATCCCAGTCCCCCACTCCTTTAGGCCGAAGGCAAGTTCGGGCTGAAGGAGTTATAATAAGTCGATGAGAACTCGAGGGGTGATAGTTCTGACAAGTCGGGGGCTTATGCTGCCGCAAGCTCGAAGGCGTTTGATGAAATTTGCTGGCAGAAGGGTGTGGTGAACGATAGCCGGAGGCTACCACTCGGGGGCACCCCTAGTGTAACCAAAATATAGTCGTTGTAATGTAGCCGTTGGAAGAAGAGCTGACGTGGCATGCCTCCGTTGGTCGAAGGTGGGCGGGTGCCACCCATTGGTTGAGGCGAAGGTTTGTAATGATGGGTTTTTCCAATCGAGGCCCATCTATCGAGGCCCAGAGTCTATAAATACCCCTGGGCGGAGCTCATTTCCTTTACGCATTCCTTCTCTCTAGCGAAGCTCTGCCAAAATTTCTAGTGAGAGAGAGACCTTTTTTCGATCAAAGCTAACTTCCCGAGGTCAGTTCTTGCTCTGTTCTTGAATTTCTCTGTATACTTTGCTTTTCGGCTTTAGATTTAGCGTTAGCGTTTTCAGTAGCCTTCGGCGAGAGTATTAAGTAGCTTTCCTCTTCTAGACACCTTTCCCTTAGCACAAAAAATGTCTTCGCAAACCGACTCTCAGAACATCTCGAGGGAGGCCCCGGTGCAATCCGAAAGCATTTCTGAGGTGGAGTCCTCAAGCGAGCAGCCTTCGAATATTGACGACTCGCAAGTGGCTGCCGAAGTCCAAAAGCGTCTCATAACCGAGGCCGAGGCCGAGGAGTTTGAGCAAGTGATTGAGGACGAGGAGATGGCCCTCGCGGTCCAAATTGCCGAGGAGGAAGAAGAGAAGGAGAGGATGAAAGTGACCATCGCTGTTCCTCCCCCTCGTAACGACGCCGGAGCGGGGAGTTCTAGGCCCCTGGATCCGGAGCCTCTCAATGTGGCTCCCGGGAAGAAGAAGAAGACGAGGGGGGCCTCGAAGAAGAAGCAAGCCGTCGCCGATGCGGGACAGCCCGTCGGGATTCCGGAGGGGCATTCATATTTGAACACCGCAGCTCTCAAAGTGGAAACCAAGGCCACGCATGCCGAATATATGGCGACGCAGTTCTTTGTTGGGCCTTCGGCACAAGTGGTAGAGCCGGGGCCAGATGATGTGCTCCTACGTCCCCCCGAAGGATGCTTTGCTGTGCACCTCCTATCTGTGGAGTTGGGGCTTCGGTTCCCACTCCACCCCTTCGTACTAGAGTATCTTCGTTTCGTCAAACTCGCTCCCTGCCAGATTACTCCGAACAGCCATTCATATCTGGCCGGATTCTTGTCTTTATGCCGGGAAAGGGGAGTGGAGGCATCGCTAGATCAGTTTCTCCTTTCTTTCAACCTTTGCCGGGGGGGGCATGCCAACAGCGAGGGCTTCGCTAATCTTCAACAGATTCCGGAGTGGAGGCTGTTCTCTGAGGTTCCTTCCTCCCATAAAGGTTGGAAGGACAAATTCTGCTTCATTCGGATGGAGGAGAATCCTTTCCCTGCTCCCCTTCGTGACAATTTCAAGAGGCACCCTAAAGTGGGGAATGCTTTTCTTGCGAAGGAGGGGAAGAAGCTGGTAGCCAAACCGGAGGGATCGGACAAGCAGAAGACAATCAAGGATGCCACCCTTCCGGAGGAGCTGCTTCGCCTTGGTTTCCGGCGATTCCGATTGATGGGGGAGACCGGCGGCGAATACCCCCCGATAGATAGAGTGTATGAGAGCGCCGGAGGTGATTGCCGAAGGGTCCTTATCTTGTACTTAGGATATTCTTGTGCCTTTTGCTATGTAACTTATTTTTGCACATTTTCCTTCTTTTCAGGCGCAGAGATGGACGCGAAGAACTTCGCGAAGCTCAAGAAGCAATTGGCCAAGGAGCCGAAGAAAAAGGAGGGAGGACCCTCCCAGCAAAGGCCCGTTGAAGATTTTTTCCCGAAAGGGGAAGCCGTGAAGGACCAGGGGGCCGAGGGGGCCTCCCAAGTTGTTGTCGGGGGTGCCGGTGCCCTGAAAATTGAAACCGCCAAGCGAAAGGCCCCGGAAAAAGGGGTCGAGGCCCCCGGGAAAAAGGTTAAGAAGGCTGTCGGCGCAAAGGGGGCACCAGTGGTAATTTCTGAGGGCCATTCCTCCTCCGGCACGCCGTTGGTGTTTGTTGCCGCTGCCCCCCTTCCGGATCAGATGGAAGATGGGCCATGGCCCCGGGAGAACGTCCAATTCTCCATCAAGAAAGGGACCGCCATTCTGCACGGCACCCTGGATCCGAAGGAGTTCTTGGATGGGGCCACTCCTTCGCTGGATAGATCGACCCTGAGCCGGTACGACGACGCTGCCCTGGACGCTAAGCTCCTCCAGGCCTCGGTGACTGTAAGTCTTGATATTCTCTCTTCCCTTAGCCTTTTGTCCCTAGTTTTTTTTTTGCAGAGGTCTGATCCTTCGTTTCTTTTTTGTGTCTACAGGCCAGTGTAGCCCTCGGAGAACACGTCCGGAGGGCGGAACAATTACGCCTCCAGAAGGCGGAGTCCGACGAGGCCCTGAGGAAGCTCGTCGTGACTAACACCGAGGCCATCCGGAAGATGGCAATCCTGGAGGAGAGCCTCCGGCAGATGGAGAAGAAGCTGGAGGTTGCCCGAATGGAGGGCAAAGCCGAAGGCAAGGCGGAGGCCGAGACGCTCGCTGCTGCCGCCGCAAAGACCGCTGCTGACAATGCCGAGGAAGCAAAGCGGGTGGCCATCCTTCAGGCCGAGAAAGATGCTGTCGCTGCCTTTGTCGCCGGGGGCTGGAAAGATGAGGACCGGAGGCAGTGGGTTTCCTCGGTGGTTGAGGAAAGTGTCGATGACTGGGTGGGTGGTCCCGGGGCGATGTGGCTAGCTCGGAAGGGGAAGAGCTATTACGAGGGTGGTGAGTACTTTACTCAAGCCAACATCTACCGGAAGCTTGCTCGGCATTTCAACATTGATCCGAAGGTGTTTAAGCCAGAAGCCTACGGCCTTCCGCCCCTTCAGCCCGATGTGCGGGTCCCTCTGCCCGAAGGCGTGGAAAGAGAGCTGCTCGAAGATTCTGAGCTGGCGAAGGAAGCCGATGATGATGAGGATGAAGAGGCCGGGGAAGACGCCGCCTCAAGGCCGAAGGAGGATGGGGATGTGAATGTTCAAGCTTGAAATCCCTCTGAGTACAATTTGTAATAGCCTGTAGACTCCGGCTCCGGCCGTGTATTGTGAATGGACACCTATTTTGTACTTTGAATATTTTTTGTGGGTGAATGAATGATCGCCTCCGGGCTTCTTATGTGAATGCCTTCGGGTTTTTCTTTTTTCTCTTTCCTTTGTGCAATATGAATGTATGCCTCCGTCTTTCGTTGTGTATATGTATATGCTCCACCCTTTCTGATTTGATGTATGTTTGCTCGAATGCCGCAAGTTCGTGGATTTAGAAATTTTTCTAAGTAACCTGGCAGCAAGCCTCCGGTTGTAGTGCGGAATTACCTGGCAGCAAGCCTCCGGTTGATCAGAATTCTTCGGGTGTAGAGCAGAATCATCGGGAGGTTTGTGATTGCGGACTTAGAAAATTTTCTAAGTTAGAACTTTTGTCGTGAGCTTCCGGTCGTGGTGTAGAATAAGCCCCCCTCGGATGTTCGTAGTAGTGGGGCCGAGGGATGAATTGGAAGCCTTCATTTAGTAGTGTAGCTTCTGGCTATTGCCAAGTAGTTTGGGAGGCCATCGGCCATGAGTCTGTAGGTGAAGAATTGCCCTCCTGAAGGATCCACATTTGTGGACTTAGTCGTTTTTCCACAAAATCTCAATAGGTGTTGTAGTGGACCTTCGGGCGTAAGGGTCGCTTGGGCCCCCGGTGTGTACAGTTGCCGAGGGGTCTCAGATTATGTATTCAGTGAAATTCTGAGATTTGTTGAGATCGTTTGAATGAGCCTGGTGATCCTTCATCCCTTGGCATGAACCCTCCGGTTCGTGTAGATAATTGATTTAGCTCGCCTTAGAACTTTGCGTAGCCTTCGGTATGTAACATGGTGTCTTCGATTCGAGCCAGATTTGGGACTTAGCCAAATTTGGGTGAAGCTTTGATAGTAAGCCCTCTTCTTATGCCTTTGGGAATACTTTGTGTAGCCTTTGTGTAAGCCAGCTTCTTATGCCTTCGGTGGAATTCTTGTACTCCAAGGTTTTTCGCAGTGAAGCCTTCGGCCTTGTGGCCAGATGACTTGTTGCTTGCGAGATTTTCTTGTGGATTTGTAGGAGCCTTCGGGAATGTATATCCGAAGTGTTGAGCCTCCGGGGAGAATAGTATCCGGGGAGTTCCTTCCCCCCTACACATCTTTTTTTAATTTTTTTTTTTTTTTTTTTTTTTTTTTTTTTTTAGATGGTGTAGGAGAGGCGTCTAGAAACTTGGTTTCTAGGAAAGGCTTGGCCTATATGGGAGGCAACGGAGTAAACCGTTGGCTCCCCCTTCGGGAATGACCTTCCGATATCCCGAAGGGTCTGAGGGTCGTTTCCTCGGCCCGAGACATCGTCTGTTGCCTGCTTCCCCTTGGGAGATAGCACGGAAAGCGCCTCGGTTTTGAAAGTCGTCCCCTCAGCCCGAGACATGGTCTGTTGCCTGCTTCCCCTTGGGGGATAGCGCGGGGAGCGTTTCGTTTGTGGAAGTCGAATCCTGGGCCCGGGACATGGTCCGTTGCCTGCCTCCCCTTGGGGGATGGCGCGGAAAGCGTTCCTGGGAAGGGTTTTACTTGTGTGTGGGACACAAATAGCCGGGGGCACTTGGTACCAGCCGGAGCCGAGGGGTGTTGCACCCCCCGGTTTTATATATTTTTTTTTTTTTTTTTTTTTTTTTTTTTAGGAGGAGAGAGTATGTATAGTATGCATAATGTATGCATGATTGCGTCCTCGTGGGGTACGGCTTATTGAGGAAACACTTGGTGTTTTCAAAAAGTGATGGGGGTGACCCGTACACTTGGTACTTGGTATCCAGATTGTTGTTCCCCCTCATCAGAGGGAGAGGCCTTGGGCCTATTCCGGTGGAGAGATGAGGGCTTGGCCACTCATGTGTAGGAGAGAAGGGGGGCCTTGGGCCGATTGTACAATATGTAGGTGATGAAGGCTTGGCCTTTTGATTATTCTTCAAAAATAGATGGGGCCTTGGGCCATTGATCATTTACACTTGTTGAGGATGAGGGCTTGGCCACTCATTGGTAAAACTTCACTAGGTGGTGCACATTCCAATGTCTAGGAATCTCTGTCCCATTAGGACGTTTTAACTTGTATGTCCCCGGTTTGATGATGGCTGAGATGATGTAGGGGCCTTCAAACTTGGGTGCCATCTTTCCTCCCTCGGTGGGTAGACTGGCCTCCCTTCGTCGGAGGACGTAGTCTCCCACCTGGAATTCCCGGGAGCGGACCTTGGCGTCGATGTATCCTTTGACTTGTCTCCTATAGTTTTCGGCCCTGAGAAAAGCTTGCTCTCGGCGTTCTGAGATGAGATGGAGGTCGAGAGCCATGTTGGCTTCGTTTGCCTCGGGCTCATATTGCTCAACCCTTCGGGTGGGAAGAGTTACTTCTGTGGGAGCCTTAGCCTCAAAGCCATAGCATAGGGAGAAGGGGGTTTCGCCTGTTGCACGCCGAGGGGTGGTGCGGTAGGCCCATAAGATGTTGTGGAGCTCTTCTACCCAGCCTCCCCCTTCGGCTTCCAGCTTCTTCTTCAACCCTTCGAGGAGGGTGCGGTTGGCATTTTCTACTTGTCCGTTGCCCTGAGGGTAGGCAACGGAAGAGAATGTGTGCTTGATGCCCCAAGCTTCAAGGAGGGCACAGAAGGGGGCTGCCTCGAACTGGGTCCCGTTGTCGGAGATGATTTGTTGGGGGACGCCAAACCTTGTGAGAATGTTCTTGAGGACAAAGTGACGGCACCGGGCCTCCGTGATGCTGGCGAGGGGTTCGGCCTCTACCCACTTGGTGAAGTAGTCAATAGCCACAATGATATACCTGTTGTTGGAGGTACCCCTCGGCAGAGGGCCTACTAAGTCGATCCCCCATCTGGAGAAGGGTATAGCGGTGCTGATGGGGGCGTAGTTGACAGCTGGTCTGCCGGGGGCCTTCTGAAAGTGCTGGCAAGCGGTGCACCTTCGGGCTAGATCAGCACAATCTCTGGCCATCGTGGGCCAGAAATAACCTTGAACGATGAGCCTTCGGGACATGGAGAAGGGTCCCTGGTGAGCTGAGCAAGTGCCACTGTGCACCTCTTCCATGGCGACTTCGGCTTCATCTTGATGAAGGCATCGAAGGAGGGTGCCGTTGTAAGATCTCTTGTAAAGCCTCTCGTTTTCGATGGTGTAGCTGGGAGCCCTCAGCTTCATTAATTTTGCGCGGGCCCCATCTTGGGGCAGTTGTCCTGTGTTGATGAAGGCGAAGATGTCGGAGATCCAATCCTCCGGCCTCAGGTTAACGCTCATGACGGGGCTCGCGTGGATGCTTGAGAGGCTGAGTTCCTCGATTCTTGCAATTTTGGAGAGGTGCTCGGGGGATTCATCCGAGAGCTTCGATAGAATATCGGCCTCAGAGTTTTGAGCCCTCGGTATTTGGGTGAGAGAATGTGCCTCAAACACCCTGAGCAACTCCTTAGCCGCTTCCTTGTATTGTTTCATCCTTCCTTCCTTGGCTTCGTACTCCCCGGAAATTTGACCCACAACAAGTTTGGAGTCACACTTGACGTGGATCATCTTAGCCTTCAGATTTGCTGCCAGCCGAAGGCCACAGAGGAGGGCCTCGTACTCGGCCTCGTTGTTGGAGACTTTGAAGGAGAAGCGGATGGCATAATAGGCGCGGAAGCCCTCGGGTGTAATGAGAACTACTCCCCCTCCGCACGCTTTGGTGGCCGAGGAGCCATCGGTATAGAGTGTCCACCACTCATCGAGGGGTGCCGAGGGCTCCTCGTCAGTTGCTGATCTTGCGGTGCATTCCGTTACGAAGTCCGCCAGGGCTTGGCCCTTAATGGAAGGCCTCGGACGGATGTCTATGTTGTATTGGCTGAGGAAGATGGCCCATTTTACCATCCGGGAGGAGCTAGTGGGACTTCTCATGAGGGCGCCGAGGGGTTGATGAGTGAGCACTTGGACCGGATGAGCTTGAAAGTAGTGGCCAAGCTTCTTGACGGTCCAAACGATGGCTAGCACTGTCTTCTCGACGGGAGAATACCTGAGTTCGGCCTCCCGGAGGGTTTTGCTGACGTAGAAGATGGCATGTTGGATGCCGTCTTCTTCTCGGATTAGTACTGAGCTGATAGCCGCAGGGCTAACACCGAGATATAAGTATAAAGTCTCCCCCACCTTTGGTTTGGAGAGTACTGGGGGAGAGGAGAGGTACCTCTTGAGTTCTTCGAAGGCCTCTTGACATTCAGATGTCCATTGAAAACCCGCCGTCTTCCTCATGATTTGGAAGAAGGGGAGAGCCCTCTCGGCTGACTTTGAGAGGAAACGGTTGAGGGCTGCCAGGCGACCCGCCAACCGTTGGACTTCTTTGACGTTGCGTGGAGGCTCCATGTTGATGATGGCCTGAATCTTTTCGGGGTTGGCCTCAATACCCCTTCGGCTTACCATGTAGCCCAAGAACTTTCCTCCCTGCACGCCGAAGGTGCACTTCTTTGGATTTAGCCGGAGGTTGAATTTTTGCATGATGGCGAAGATTTCCCGGAGGTCGTCGGCGTGAGTGCCTGCCTTCTTGCTTTTGACGATCATGTCGTCAACGTAAGCCTCCATG